GTTGAGACAGGGCCACTCAATGCAAAGATTAGAAGGAGAACGTGTTATGAATGTGGAGAGCGTGGGCACGAGTCTTCTTCTTGTCCCATGAAACAAGCAGTTGAACAAGGAAATCGAGTTGGAGTGACCACATCAATATCCAGCGAAATGAACAGTCAAGTTCCAGTGACCAAATCTAGATCTACCGAAATGAGTACTCAATTAAAGAGTTTTGACGACTCAAATTTCATGCGACTAAACAATGTACAAGTAAGTAATCAGCTTGATGCATTGCCAAGCGCTCCAGTGGAGATTGGTCAACTCAGTGCAAAGATACGGAGGCGGACGTGTTATGAATGTGGAGAACGTGGGCATCTCTCCTCATTTTGTGTCAAGAAAAAAGGTGCTACAGAGCAAGGAAATCAAGTTGCAAGCTGATCTTGAAGAAGATTTTGTAAAATTTTGTTTTCTATTTATGTATTTGTGCTTCATTTAGTGAGTGTTCAGGGGTATTTCCTCTATATACGGACAAACAAGTTGGTAATACTTTTTGGTCCATTAGTTGATACTTTCAAACATGAATTAAAGTAGTACCGCAAGCCGTTATTAAAAACATACCGTTCCTTTTGGTATAAAAAACTTCGTTTGCTTTTTATAGTAATGATTATGTGGTTCATATTATTTTTTCGTCAATTGAATCGCTACAAAGTCACAATTTTAGAGCCCGTTTGGAGAACTCTGTTTTCGGCTTATCAGGCTTATCAGTCAGCTTTTTCACCAAACACGTAACTTTTACTTTCGCGCGCTGAATTGTGTAATAAGTCGAAAAAGTAAGGTTGGAGTTACTTTTCTGGCTGTATTGGCTGAAGTTACTGTAGAGGACCATTTTAGCTATGTTTACATATAATTTTTTCTTTAATTTATTAATAAAATATATTTTTAAAATATTTTTTTCTTAAATCAGCAGAATCAGCCAAAACAGCCACTCCAGCCAGAATATCATAAATTTCAGCAGAATCAGCCAAAACAGCCGATTTTGGTGCTACCAAACGGGCTCTTAACTTTTGTTATTATACATGCAAGTCAAAATAAGAGATCAATATCAAATTCATACTAGGAGATGGAGGTATATTATTTTGAAGTTTTAATTACCCTCTTAATAACTTATTTATAAATTTATGTGGAAATGTGCAGATTATTATTGAATTAGAAGTTGACCAAAATAGAATAAAACAATATAAAATTCTGAAATAAGAGTAGTATTTTAATTTCCCATAAATAGGAGTAGTTATTGACATTCTTGAAAAAACACTTTGAACTATGGCATTAATTTTGACAAAATATGGTAGTGTGGTTTTCGGCTTGCAATAATTTGTTCCTATTTAGGGAAAACTATTCTTTTTGGGCTTTTAAGGGAAAACCATATTAATAAGATTTTCTAGCTAATGTATAAACTAACAAATTGTACTCCGTGATTTTTACTACGCTATAGTTAATACAAATTTAGTAACATTGAAATGAGTTAAATTGGTGGAATATATTGCAAGTTTGCAACTAATGAAATTTTAAATGAATCGATTGATTTCACTAATTTGCAGATTTGCATGAATATTATATTTAAAATATCTCTTTAATGATAAATAAATAAATAAAATTATGAAAAAAGCCACAATGGTCTTTGACAGTAACTTCAACCAATTCAATTACAGAAATAACTCAAAACGTACTTATTTTTTATTAATATATAATTGAGCGAGCAAAATCAAATGTAATGTGTTTGATAAACAAAAATGACGGATTAGACTGATAAGCAGAAAAATATTAGTTACCAAGCAAGCACTTAAGAGCTTTAAGCTCGAAAATAAATATTAAAGTTAGTATACAATCTTATAGAAAATATGTTTTAAATATTATAAATTAATCTAAAATTTATCTCACGGTGTAAAATGAACTCACAACAATAAGCATTGAGATATCTAAAGAACCATATAACTTGTTTTAGTCAAAATTTATTATTTTACATATACCATAACTTATTAATATTCATTACAACAATATCACTTTCTTACATTAACTGGTGTTTACCAAAACTGTTGTTTCACTTTTGTACCGTGTGAAGAGCAAATTGTTGAAAGAGTGATTCGAACTTTCATATTGCATTATAAAAAAGAGAAAAAACACTCACAACCAGGGATGTACCCAGCCCAAAACCGGGTTTGACACTATTTGGGACTAGTCCTGTTTTTTCAGTTTCGAGTATGGGACCAGCCCTATCCACCCAAGGGGGGTACCCGGTCCCAATTCACATATTTGGGGATCCAACCGGGCCATTCTGATCCCTGTTTCGGTCCCAACTGATGACATTTGGAAACGGCCAAAAGAATTGAACGAGCACAGTTGCCCAGGTACCAAGAACTAGTCTAGACCGGCCGAATAGTACCGGATCAAACCCGGGCTTCTCTAAACAATGATCCACATCGGCCGGTCTAGGATGTGGACCAGAAGCGAACCGGACCAGGATCGAGTCCACCCTAACTCACAACACACGGTTATCATGTACTCCGTATATAGTATATATCATGGAGGAACAATGTTACACAGTTTCATAAAGTTTCTTCTATGTTAAGCGACTCAAAACACAAGAATGGGACATGAAAATTCATTCAAATACAATGCACATGATATATCTACGACCATAAATCGACACACTTCTACAACATCCTTCTTGCACTCCTGAACCAAACTTGGCAAAGAGGAAAAGTTCCCACTGGCCACTGTTTCATTGTCATATCTTAAGTTAGTCTATAATTTTTATTGTTACGTACTAAGTTCGGGCAGCGAAAGTTTCCAGAAAATATCCAATATGAATTTTTTTCAAAAAAAATGTCCTTTTAAGTGATGGCGGGTGATCCACCATCCAATTATCTTGAAGGATGATTCCAGTTTCAAGGTTTACCTGAACCTTCCCCTCTCATCATTTCTAAATTTGTATCCTTAATGTTTTACCGAAGTATTGTCCTACCAAAAGTAGAAATCGCAATCTTTTTATCTAGATTGATTATCAGCGAAATCTTTAGGGGTTGCTTAATAAATTAACCCACAATGTGTCTTTGATTTCTTTCTTCATTTGCTCAAATTAGAAACAAATCGTTCTAGAAATTAAGAGCTCGTTTGATAAGCATGTTTTTGAGCTTATTAGACTTATCAGCCAACTTTTTCATCAAATACGTAACTTTTGATTTAGTGCGCTGAATTGTGTAATAATAAGAAAAAGTAAGGTTGAAGTTACTTTTCTGCCATATTGGCTGAAGTTACTGTAGATGATCATTTTAGCTATTTTTTCATTTAATTTTTTCTTTATTTTATTAATAAAATATATTTTAATTATAATATTTTACATAATCAAGCAGAATCAATAAATCCAACCATTTCAACCATAATTTCATAAACTTCAGCAGAATCAGCCGATGCAGCCGATTTTGGTATTACCAAACAAACTCTAAATAAACCGATACTCCTTTTGTTCCTTAAAGCTTTGCCAACTTTCCTTTTTTGGTTGTCCCAATAACTTTGCCACTTTCCATTTTAAGTACAGAATTTGTGGTTCCAGTTAATTCTCTCTCCTATGCACAAATCTCAACCACACAGTTTTTACTTTATTAATCTCCGTGCCGGTCAAAATTGGCAAAGTTTTAAGGGACGGAGGTAGTACAATATACGATGCCATCACAGAAAAGCATTACTTAAATAAATCAGAACTAGAAAGGGAATGCGATTGTATACATAAGCTGTGTGAGCTGCTTACTTGTGCCAATCAAGTCCGAGCACAGCGGTGACAGAACGGACAGAAATGACTTCAATAAGGAGGGCGACGAGTCAAAAGGTGGGTGTGTTTGACTTTTAGCGGTTAGCGGACAACAATTTGTTAGTGTATTTGGCTAGCGGAATAAGTTGGTGGTTGTCAGAAGATGTTTAGTAATTTAGTCGTTTGCCTATAGAATTTAGTAGAAAACGTCATATTCAAAATGCTAACCCAAAACTCTATTATTTGATTGTTTTAATTTCAACGATTTCGTCCAAAAATGTTAGGTTCGTACAACTATTTTTGTTGTTGTCACTTGTCAGAAGATGTTTGGGTCAAATCGTCATTTTGCGCAGAGCAAAGCTCAACTCACCAATGATTGTAGAAGGGGGCACAAATTATGATTGCGATTGCCATGTCGATCCATAACAGTGGCTGAATCCACGAGTGCAAATGCGGCAAGGTGAAGCGGAGGTAGTCTGCTCCCATGTAATCAAGGTAAAGCGGAGGTAGTCTGCTCCAATGTAGTCTATGACGGTGAATCACAACCCACCGCCTCACTGATATTTCCATATCGCCATTACCCACGATGGCGGGAACCTCATGTTTGGCTTAAGAGTGTATTGTTCTGGAGGCAATTTCGTTTCGTGATTTCTTGATTTCCCGATAGGAATTGATTTTTTTCTTCCTAAATCTCTGTAATCTTGTTAGATAATGCTCTTTAATGAGATGTGAGATAAATATATCAAAGTTACACATGTAATATATATCCTGAATTTTATATAAAAAATTAGTTTCACACCATGATTGTATATATGTTTACAAATACAAATTTATTGGAATAATAATTACATAATTTAAAACCTCTAAACCTCGTTTGAATATACGAAGTAGTTAACATTGTAAAATTTCCTTAGTAAAAATATGTATTACTAAATCCGGAACAATGAATTTTAAATTATGTACTTAAGTACTTAACCCCATAAAATTAAATTTGTGAAAAAATATATGATGCTAATAAAGTTTGAGGTGTATATTGTAAGTTCAAGTTAAGTATACTTATTTCACACTCTTTCAAAATTTGAGATATTTAAATTATTTATTTCCTTTTACTTTTATATAGTGTTGTCCAAGTTTATCTAGTGTTGACCGGGTTGACCTAGGACCCAATTATTTGACTCGATCGCTTCCTCTAGAACATAGGATAAAACAGGATTATACGCCAATTATAATTTCTAGCGCGTAAACTTGAAATTACTGCCTTATCTTCGGGAAAAAAAATAGAGAAACAATTTTGCCCCTTCCACCAGAAACCCCATAGCCATTCCCGGCGAGCCCGCCTCCAAAACTCTTCATATCAACTTTAACGGGTTGGTGGGATAGCTTTCCGGAGCATCAATGGTACACATAAGGGATTTGAAGAGGAAGAAGAAGCCGAAAAAATACGTTAACCGTAATGCCCCTACCATTTGCCGACAGCCCATGGCTTGCGACTCTGATTGGTGGATCTTATCCGAGGGAGAGTCTAGGTTGAGTCTGAATTGTGCTGAAACGTAAGGCAATTCATTTTTTATTTTATTTTTTACTGTAATTTTTTATATTTAGTTCACTCCCTGCTAATGTTTAAAACTTCAAACCTACTAAATCGAAGGATTCTGCTTCAGGATTTCTGTCAATCCAGATTCCCGGACCAGCTTCCTATTTTACCAAACGATACCCGTTTCATACAAATCAGCACACTTGGCAAAATAGCCATTACCAAATGCCCCCTAAGAATTTAAGATTTGCTGTTGAAGTTATCACCAATGTCCGTTTGATTTCACTAGCAGCCTGTTCTATGAGCTTGTTTTTTTTTTTTTTTGAATTATTTTGCTCAGGACACAGTATTTTTCTTTTCTTGTGACTGTCAATCTGAGTACAGAAGTCTGTGTTAATTCTGATTATTAATTTCTTCACCCTCTGCCATTCTGGATAAATCTTGAGTCCAACTCAAATTTTCTTCTGTCTTCACATATTTTGCATGATTTTATACTGTTAATTACTTTTAGACCTTGAATCGACACTACAAGTTTTTGAAACCAACCCTAATATAGTTAGAATTAAGGTGAAGCTTGTGATGATGTGGCTGGTTGGGTACAGTTTATGTGCATTTCTTGATTACCATTGTTTAGTTAAGTTTGATGAACTTTCTTCTGTTTTTCTCTCTTCATTTTATGATATTTGATTCATGCTATTGCAGTAAAGAAGTTGTTGATGCATCTACAAAAGTTTATGTTGGAGGCATCCCATACTACTTCAATGAGGATGATATTAGAAGTTTCTTTGGAGGGTGTGGCCCCGTTACTCAAATTGATTGTATGATATTCCCCGACACTGGAAAGTTCAGAGGCATTGCAGTAATCAATTTTAAGGTAAGTTTTGTGTATTTCTTTGTTATTATTATGAAGCAGTTTGGATCTCAAAAAATGGTAAGAAAAAAGGAAAGTACGGTGGAAGATAAATTTGTTGGTTTGTTTTACAATTTTACCTTGGGAAATTCAAAGAAAAACCAATCTGATAAGAATTTTTTAGGATTCTATGCGTGTGTGTAAGGGAGAGATTTCTTAGTCTTTTATATTTTAGAAATATAAAAAAAACGGGTTTGAACATACATCTTCAATTACTCTATTTAGCTTGGACAAATATCTACAATTACATTATTGAGTTTGAACCTACTTTTTGTTGTCTTTCTTTCCAAATTTCCCTTTCATTTCCATCTGTTTATATTTTCCCAGCGTTTTCCTAGATACACACAGACCCTTAAGCATTATTTCCATTTGAGTCTATCTAAAAGCGAACACGTCCCCCCACTACCGCGCTTTCCAGATTAGAAATCAAAACAAATCTGAAAGAAAAAGATAGTTCTCCACAAAGCACAAATCACGTGGTGAAATCAAATTTCATACTTATGTGAACTAAACCACATTGAATAAGCTAGTGGCTTGCAGTTTATCTTTTTATTATGTTAACATTCTATGACAACACCTTATATTTTTGTGGACTACAATGATGGTGAACTTCTAGGGAAAAGTTATTGTGTTAATTAACTTTAGTGAAAGAGCACATACATGCTTTCAGTGAGTAGGGTAAATATTTCCTGTAGGCTCATTATGCTTAACTGAAGGAGGCTAAAGGAATCTTAAGCAAAGCCCATCACAGTGACCTTGTGCTGTTTAGCTGCGAAAATACTTCGTACACGACATATCCAACCGGAAGTACGCGGATTGTTATGTCATGACACTTAGGTATCTTTGTTACGTTGACTTGTAGATGAATTACCCTAGTGCAAAACCAATCTGATACCAGGCTGCAATGTTCTTGCCCTTTGAATCTTTAGAACTGTTTCTTTTGCTGTTAGAAACCACAAACAGTGAGTGTCCAGTGAGATATCTAAATTTGTATGTCACATGATTACCAATTTCTTATTTTATGCCACATTGAAGAAGGATTTACAAGTTGGAATTGTAAAAAGGAACTATTTTTTATCCAAAAAACCAGTTTAACATATCGTCTGAAATATGTGGGACAGTAGCTTCGTATCACGTACTCAACCAAAATGCGTAGTTATAATTTTAAATAGTATAGAGCATATAAAGTAAAAGAGATGAAGTCCTTTTCATGGAGGGGTAAATAAATGCCTCTTATCTTTCCCATTAAGTAGTGGTTGGTTTGATTACGTTTAAGTAACCCTTGTGTTTTCTGGAACCAACAAGTTTAGCTCCTAACCGGCCAAATTTTCTACAAATGATCATTATATTGGTTTTATAACAACTCTTGTCAATCATCTAATAACCAAAATTATTATTTCCAGACAGATGTGGCTGCGAAAAGAGCCTTGGGCCTTGACGGATCGGATATGTAAGTCACCTATTAGCTCAATAACTACTCCCCACTCATCCTACTCTGTCTTGAGTCATCATTATGACCATCTACCTCTTGCAGGGGTGGGCTATTCCTGAAAGTCCAAGCATATAACCCATTTAGATCAAAAAACAAAGTTTCTAACTTCTCTTCGACAGCTGTGGATGGTTACTACAGGATTTATATAGGAAATTTGTCATGGGAGATAACCGAGGACGATTTAAGGAACCTTTTTTCTGGTTGCCAAATAGCATCCATCTGGTTCGCAGAAGATAAGGAAACAGGGTTGTTGGAAGGCTATGCCCATGTTGATTTTGCAGATAATTGTTCTTTAGAAAAAGCGTTAAAGCTAGATCAGAAAATTGTTTGTGGAAGACCTGTTAGGATAAGTTATACTGTCCCAAAGAAGGGACGGGCACTGACCAAATCAATAACTACCCATGCGAATAATACTCAAGTAGAGAGTTTTGACAATTTAACAGTCGTCTCACCAGATTATACAGCAGGCCCACCACAAGCGAATAATAACATCAATATCCTGACAAGCAATCAGGCGGAGAATGTTGAGACAGGGCCAATCAGTGCAAAGATTAGGAGGAGAACGTGTTATCAATGTGGGGAGCGTGGGCATGTTTCGTCTTCTTGTCCCAAGAAACAGGCAACTGAAAAAGGAAATCAATTTGCATTGACCAAATCAAAATGTACTGAAATTAACACTCAAGCAAAGAGTGTCGACGACTCAAATGCAACGTTATCGCATTATTGTAAAGCAAGTCTACGAGTAGTGTATAATCATGTTGTCTTCCCGCCAAACAATGGGGTGAAAAATGTTGAAATGGGCCCATACAGGGCAAAGAGAAGGAGTCGGATATGTTATGTATGCCGTGAGTGTGGGCACGAGTCTTCTTCTTGTCCCATGAAACAAACCACTGAACAAGGAAATAAAGTTGGAGCGACCAAATCAATATTCAGTGAAATTAACAGTCAACATGCAGTGACCAAATCAAGATCTACTGAAATGGGCACTCAATCAAAGAGTTTTAACACTCAAGCAAAGAGTGCCAGGGTGAAGAGGAGGCGGTTATGTTATGTATGTCATGAGTGTGGGCACGAGTCTTCTTCTTGTCCCATGAAACAAGCCGCCGAACATGGAAATCAAGTTGGAGTGACCAAATCAATATTCAGTGAAATTATCAGTCAAGATGCAGTGACCAAATCGAGATCTACTGAAATGAGCACTCAATCAAAGAGTTCTGATGACTCAAATTTCACACGGCTAAACAATGTGCAAGTAACTAATCAGCGTGATGCACTGCCGAGCGCTCCAGTGCAGATTGGCCAACTCAGTGCTAAGATACAGCGGCGAACATGTGACGAATGTGGAGAACATGGGCATGTTTTGTCTTCTTGCCCCAAGAAACGAGTAACAGAACAAGGAAATCAATTTGGATTGACTAAATCAAGATCTACTGAAATGAACACTCAAGCAAAGAGTGTTGAAATGGGCCCATTTAGGGCAAAGAGGAGGTGGATATGTTATGTATGCCATGAGCATGGGCATGCATCTTCTTCTTGTCCCATGAAACAAGCCGCTGAACAAGGAATTCAAGTTGGAGTGACCAAATCAATATTCAGTGAAATTAACAGTCAACATGCAGTGACCAAATCAAGATCTACTGAAATGAGCACTCAATCAAAGAGTTTTAACACTCAAGCAAAGAGTGCCAGGGCGAAGAGGAGGCGGATATGTTATGTATGTCATGAGTGTGGGCACGAGTCTTCTTCTTGTCCCATGAAACAAGCCGCCGAACAAGGAAATCAAGTTGGAGTGACCAAATCAATATTCAGTGAAATTAACAGTCAAGATGCAGTGACCAAATCGAGATCTACTCAAATGAGCACTCAATCAAAGAGTTTTACCGACTCAAATTTCTCAGCTTGATGAACTGCCAAGCGCTCGTGTGCAGATTGGCCAACTCAGTACAAAGCTATGGCACCAAAGATGTTATGAGTGTGAAGAACGTGGGCATCTTTCTTCATTCTGTGTCAAGAAACAAGCTGCTACAGTGCAAGGAAATCAAGTTGTAAGCTGATCTTGAAGAAGATCTTGTAAAATTTGGTTTTCTACTTATGTACTCCGTATATGACTTTCATTTAGTGAGTGTTCAGTGGGGATATTTCCTCTGTATATACGGACAAACATGTTGGTAATACGTTTTGGTCCATAAGTTGATACTTTCAAACTTGAATTAAAGTAGTACTACCACTTGCCATTATTAAAAACATACGTAGTACATAGTACTATCGTATTTTTCTTTTGGTGTGTCCGTTATAAACTTCAATTTATTATTATAGTAATGATTATGCGGTTCATATGATTATGTCAGTTGAATCATTATAAATCACAATTTCAACCTTTTGTATTATACATGCAAGTCAAAATAAGAGAACAAAAATAGGAGATGGAGGAATATTATGGGTTGGTTTGCAGCCACTTTAAAAAAAAGTACTTCTCAGCTTTTGGCTTTAAAAAAGCACTTCTTTTACCAAACACTACAACTTTTATTTTTCTCGGCTTTCGTGTCAAAAATGCTTTTACTTTTTCTATTACACAAAAAGCACTTATTTTACCAAACACTATCAACTTTTACTTTTCAAAATCACTTTTTTCTCAAACACTATCAACTTTTATTAAATCACTTCTCCCCATTTCATTAAAAAAAGCACTTTTTAAAAGTAGAAGCTGTTGCAAACAGACCCTATGTTGTTGAAATAAGCATTTCTAATGATTTTTAAATAGATTTTATAAATTTATGTGGCAATGTACAGATTATTAATGAATCAGAAGTTGTCCGTAACAGAAGAAAAAAATACGGAGTATTACGTATACAATATTACAATGTCAAAATAAGAATACTACGGGGTATTTTATTTTCGCCTAAATAGGAGTAGTTCACACTTGAAAAAATACTGAACTATGATTAGTCATGGACTGAACCGGGCCCGGTTCTGGGTTGGGCCTAGGCCCGGACGGGCCCAAAAAAAATTTGTGAGGGCCGGGACCGGCCCGGTAGTTGACCGGTGCCAATCTGGGCCCGGTTCTATTTTTTTTGTTTTCTTGATTATTTTATCCCCTACCTCCATCCCCCATCCAGGGGTGGATTCGGACCGGGTCAGGTCCGGGCCGGGCCTAGGCCCGGGCGGGCCGCCGGTTCTGAATAGTTGGGCCCGGGACCGGCCCGGGTAGGACCGGGTCCGGTCCGGGCCTCGGGCCTCTTTATATTATTTTGGGAAAATGGAAACTAATAATCCAACCTTTTAGCGGTCTTCTTTCAATAATCCCACCTTTTGATTATTCATGAATAATCCAACCTTTGCACCTCATCTTCATTCGTTGGTCCCTGATCGGTTAACGACCTGTTATTCCAAGTTATTTTTCTTATCATTGCAAAAAATTATCTTTGTGAAAGATGAGATTTATGGTATAATGATTTGCAAAGATAAGAAAATAGCTTGGAATAGCAGGTCATCAACCGGTCAGGGACCAGTGAATGAAGATGAGATGCAAAGGTTGGATTATTCATGAATAATCAAAAAGTGGGATTATTGAAAGAAGACCGCTAAAAGGTTGGATTATTAGTTTCCATTTTCCCTATTTTTTTGCTTTTTCTATTTAACCCCCGACCCCCCCCCCCCCAAAATAACCAGCCCAACCCGTTGGAATAAAAAAAATGAAAAAACAAAAAAAATGATTTTGGCCCGAACCGGGCCCGGCCGGGCCGGGTCTCATTTTGGCAGCACCGTGCCCGGAACCGTCTCCCCCTCGGTGAACCGGGCCGGTCCCGGGTCTGCACAGTAGTGGGCCGGGGAGCCCCATCCCACAACCCATCTGAAACACCCATTGCAGCCCATTTAAACCCGGCCCAAAGCCCCAAACAAAAAAAAAAAACAAAAAAAAATTGAAAAGGCCCGAACCGGGCCCGGAACCGGCCGGGCCGGTTCTCAATTCCCTAAGCCCGTACCCGCCCCTGGTTTCCCCTTCAAACCGGGCCTAGACCCGGTATTGCTACCCCGGTTCCCGGGCCGGGCCGGGCCCAAACAGTGCCGGGTGGCCCGAACCGGGTCCAAGCCTAACTATGATATTGATTTCGAAAAAGATTAACTATGGTAGAATGATTTAAGGATTACAATCCTATTCAGAGAAAACAATATTATACTTTTATCTTGGAATTTCATTTTTATTCCTATTTTGAGAAACCCCTAAAGAATAGAAAGTGACTTAAGGAGGTGTACATGGAATTAGTGCAAATATTTAAAACTATAAGAATTTTAAAATCTTAGGGCTGTTGAATCTAGATTTTCAAAGTCTACACAAGTTTAAGTTTAAGTGTATTCGCATATTCAATTATTCTTATGAAGTTATACAATTATTGATTATTGTGGACTTTTTAACTAATTGATATATACGTATATTTTATTGCATGTCCCCTGTCCCCAAAGGGACAACTAAGAGGCCGTTTGGCAACACTGTTTTTCGGCTTATCATGCTTATCAGTCAACTTTTTCACCAAACACGAAATTTTTGTTTTCGCGCGCTGAATTGTATAATAAGCAGAAAAAGTAAGGTTGGAGTTACTTTTCTGGCTGTATTGCCTGAAGTTACCATAGATGACCATTTTAGCTATTTTTACATATAATTTTTTATTTATTTTATTAATAAAATATATTTTATAAATAATTTTTTCTTAAATTAGCAGAATCAGCCAATGCAGCCACTTCAGCCAGAACTTCATAAATTTCAGCAGAATCAGCCAAAACAGCCAATTTTCGTGCTACCAAACGGGCTCTAAATGTTATAAACACACACACACACATATGGGGCGGATAAGGTACAAACAGTGCTCATTGTGCAAATATATGTACAATCCATTTTTATAATATTTGAGTTGCATGTTAACTTTCAAAGTCGTGCATATATTATTCTGCAATGAGATAAACAGTTGTATATTAACGTTCAAAGTTCCACATCCAAAAAAGTTGGATTTTATTACCAAAATGCACTTTGTGTGTACAACCTTAGATCTACTAATCTGATGACCAAGTTGACTTTTGTCATTTGAAAATGCGAAGGTGTTTGTATTTGATTCCTTATATATATGGTGAAATTAACGCAACTAATCCCTACATTTACATATTTAACAATAATAACATCTATTGAAAAAGTCCACAATAATAATCTCAACTAGTTAACGGTTCACAAATAATTGAAAGGTAACAACGTTAACGATTTTGTTTTTTTTTTCATTTTAAATATAATGAATAATATATGTATACATTTTTTTTATTATTTTTATAATATATGTATATATGTATATATTTATATATTGTTAGGGTAATTGGCCCAACACATGGTTGACCCAATACCCCATGAGAAAAGGGGGGCAAAAGTAACAACCCGTCGCTCATCAAGTCTTACGCGATGGTTGTCGCCTATACCTTGTCCCGTTAAGCCAAGTGGTTAACATGGGGCTCAGCAGAGATGCTCGGCAGACCCCGCGTGACACCTCAACCTTTGCGCTTACCTGGATCAAAGACCATGAAGGCCTTGGTTGGAACACCCAATATAATTGGCAGGTAAACAGAGATATTGGCGGACAACACATTAAATGCACCAGATATGTAAGATTTGGTAGTTGAAAGGCTAGCCACCCATGACCCTCCACATTATCACTGCTACCTACCTCATGCATGAGTAGTAGCATTTATTTCATTGATAAGAGATAAAGGAGCTAGAGAGATAAAATGATTGTATATAATGATAATTCAACCCCTTACATGGCTCCAAAAAGGAGTATTTATTGGAAAAAGTGGGTTGGGCTTCTAGGCTTGGGTATGAACTTGTTACAATAAAATATATGGACATAAATGATCAATGAATGATATTTAATCTATTCTAATGGGTATATATGAATAAAAAAGTATATAATAATGTAAACATTATCTACCTATCTACTGAGTGTACGTGGGTGCTTTCTAGGACCAATAGTCATGAGACCAGGGGTCCAAGTCCATATACTCTATCAGGAGTCCTCCACTCCTTGAGGTGAGAGTACTCGAGACGAAAGTGAGTAGAGTTATGTGCTCATCTTCAATGTCATAGAGGAGCCAATGCAAGTGGCAATCCTTGTAAAGAAATTTGAATTTTGTGCTTCTTCAACTGACAGAGGCGTTAAGTCTCCCATTCTTCCAATCCCCCACTCCCTGAGGCGAGCGAGTGTAGTGAGATGAAGAGGAGTAGAGTAGTGCATGTCTCGTGATGACCCATGTAAGGATTAAGGGTCAACACCTATTGTCCACAGTGGGAAGATGCCTCATTCATAAAAACCTCATTAAGGAAAAACCATGTGAGAAAAATAGCCTAATGAGGAAATAAGTGTACATTGAATGCCCCCAAAATGAAGGAAAAGGGGGTGAGCCCTTCGGTCGAGGCGTGGAGCTGCAACGGTCACCATCTGCTAGGGGAATGATCGAGACCGGTCTTTGTGTGTGAGTAGCTTGGCATGATAAGTAGTCTTAGACATCAAATAAAGATGCCTAGCTAGGGGATAGATCAAGCGATCGTCCATAATATGATGTTCGGGTCATCAATAAAGATGACCCATATATGTGGTCGAGTGGCCTATATAAACTCTAAGTCATCAAATAAAGAGGATCGATCAGGAGGTATGAGCAAGAAGCCGATAATAAAATTTGAGTGATCAAATAAAGATGACCCGGAGATATGTGGCCAAAAGCCTACATGAACTATGGGCTCCTTTAGCTTTTCAGTTGGAGACAACAAGATGTTCGCAACAGTTTGCCATCCGCAGAGGGTGTGGCCGATACCGGTCTTAATCAAAGATAATGGTCGCCACCCTATGAGGACAGTGGGCGAGCCTAATCATAAGGACATGGCATTGACTCTAGGGGCAGGTCGTGATATGAAGACGAGATAATGAGGGTCTTGTCGTAAGACGAAGAGGAGGCACTGAGAAACCTGTCATAACATGGGGACGAGGTGCTGAGAAGCCTGTCATAAAATGGAGAAGAGGCGCTAAGTAGCCTATCGTAGTACGATCATGTTGGTATTTATATTTTTCGGTCCATACTAACTACGGAGTAAAAAATGGCTGCAATTTTACAGACTTTTTAACGCTTGTAACGTCTATTCATTAGTTGAAACAGTTTTTAATGATATATGGAGTACATATCCTTGCGAGAGCTAGGGTTATCGGCCGATAACCCTACATCGTTTATTTGTCCGCCTTTGATCTTCGGAGTGCGCGTCTTGGTTGGTTGGTTTTGGTGGTGAGGGGCGGCCTAGGCGATTGGGTAGTTTGGCGGTAAGGGGCGACATAGGTGATTGGTTGGTTAGGTTGGTGGTGGTCTTGGATTGGGAGTGAAGGCGGTGGGGATTGGCTATATAATCGAGAGAGTCGGACCTTGTAGTGGCAAAGCAGACCGTTTTCTTTCATGGAGAGTGTGACTGATAAGTACAAACAGATGATGATCGGCGATGAAGAGGAATAAATCAACCTCGATGATGGAGAGGCCGAGGACGTACTGGCAGAGGAGTCGGCAGTGGGTTTCCCGGTGCTTGGGCATGTACTGACCGATTGACAGGTTCGGTTCGGAGAGCTCAAAGAAAAGATGACTGCTCTTTGGAGGCCTGAGGAAGGTATGACGGTTAGGGAAATTGGAGAAAAGAGGTATCTATTTTCTTTTAATAATCTTTTTTATATGAAGAGGATTCTAGATGGGGGCCCTTGGCAATTTGAGCGTAGTTTAGTTTTGCTCAAAGAGATTATGCCTGATGATATACCACATAAAATCATTCTGAATGAGGCAGAATTTTGGGTCCAGATTCATAATGTTCCTTACAGTCTGGTAAACCTTGGCATTGCTAGACGGGTTGGGGGTTTTTAGGAGAATTTGTCAAATATGATGATCATAAGAGAAAAGAAAAAATAGAACCTTACATGCGGGTTAGGGTTATTATGAAGATGGATAGATCATTAAAGAAGGGGACAAATTTGAAAAAAGATGGCAACAGTTTCTGGGTAGATTTTAAATATGAAAGACTTCCCACCTTCTGCTTTATCTGTGGTATGGTTGGCCACTCAGATAACTTTTGTCCCCTAAATTATGAAGAAGGTTTGGTTTTGGAAAAAAAAATATGCATCTCATCTTAGAGCAGGTAGCGGGGTGAAGACCAGCCCTACAGGAGGGCACGTTCGGTTCCTGGAGGGTTCATCAAGCTCTGACAAATCGGGTGCTGGTCCAGAGAAGGAGACAGGGACAGAATCCGCTCAAAGCTACACACAAGGAGGGGGGACGCCTAAGGAAAAAGCCTCTAAAAGAAGGAAGTTGTGGGAAATCCGGTCAGAGGAAGATCAAGAGGAGGATAACATGGCCACTGATGGGACAAAAAACGGGGAGGTGACGAGTTTAGTTCCTTAAGCCCGCCGAATATACTGGTTGAAGGTGTGAGGCCGAATGACGGTGGCCTGGTTCTTGTCTTCTAGCAGCATGATGGATGCTTGTTTTTTTGCTTTATTTTCTTTTTAGTTAATTTTAGAGTTTGTTGTTGGTTTTGTTTCTGGTTTAATGTTCTGGGTCGTAAGACATTGGTTTTGGATGTGGGGGATGCAAGGAATTTGGTAACCGAGTTAGACTTATTGTTTCCCGGTTATGGATCAACGAATTATATTGCTACGACGATTAATTCCGAATGTGGTTCGAGGGATGACGGTTATCCATTTTCTCTTTGTCAGTTGACCCATAGTCTGAACTTTTATTGATAAAAAAGCTTGTAACGTCTATTCCGACAGGAACCGTCGTCTTTAAAACTTTGCCTACCGGATCAAAGAGGACTTTTCATGTCCAGCCGATCTGACGGGAACCGCCGTCCGGCCGAGGGCATTTCGGGCACTTCCTAGTGGAAATTTTTTATGAAATTTTTTGATCATGTTCTTCCTGAAGTCTAGAAATTTCATCTAAAAATTCTATAATAATTTCTCTGCCAGTTCGTACACGGACGGAGCATCCGTAAGGCCTGTCTGAGCCTCCGCTCTCCAATCGCCCAGTACTCTCGTCGCCCCGTCCTCTCATCGCCCCGTCCTCTCATCGCCCCCTCCTCTCTTCGCCCTCGTCCTCTCATCGCCTCCCTTTCAGCGCAAGACAAAACATCCACCGAGCACCACGCCAGAAAGTGCTTGGAGCGTCTCGGGAAATTAATCACTGATGAGGAGCAATCAGCCATGGCAGAGCTCCTAACAAGTAATCTGTATGTTTTTCCATTAAGCCTATACGGATTTGTTTAATTTTTTGGAAATTTGGGTTTTATTTAATATTTTTAAAGCAGTACTCCGTATATAAATTTACTCTCGTTGTGTTCAACTTCTTTTCTATTTACGCTTGTTTGTGCTAATGGTAATCCGGATTTGTTTGATTATTTAAAATTAGTATTATTACTTTTTCTTCGTAATTATTATTGTTATTTAGTTCATTTACCATGTAAAAGAGAAGAGATTTAGTATCATTGTATCAATTCTTTGTTTAGGATGTCAATTATACGTACTTTGTACAAAATCGAGCTAACAGGTTGCGCAAACAGATATATTCATGTTCTTAAATTGAATAAGTTTATACACTAATTAAAGGTTCAGATTAAACTGTTATGACTATTTAAAAGAAACCCCTTAAGGAATTGAAATAGAAGAGGACGGTGGGTTATTGTAGGGCAGTTACAGAAAACAACTTGCTGAATCTTTTAAACAATTACTTGTGTGATTTAAAATTTAGTATTTACTTTATACCATAGATTGATTTATGTCCAAGTTGGATGATTGCTTAAGAAGATATGGATCCAAATGTTATTATCTTTGGCATTTCTTTGGGATCACTCTATATTGTAGTCAATTTTTTTTGCTAGAATTACATTTTTCATTTTTGCTAGGTTATGGTTCATATTCTCTTATAGAAAATATAAAAGAAACAGTTGATACTTGAAACCTACTAACCTGATTTTAGATGTAGTTTATCTATGTTTAAACTTAATCACATGGCAGCTTTTCATATGCCCAAAAATGTTAACTCAAGCAGATTCTGCTTTTTGGTTTTCTGTCAAGAACTCATCGATGTAATTTTAGCTCCGTTTTCTCTTAATCACAGTGCAAAGAAACATTATGCTAAAAATGTTTACTCATGCAGTTTATGGCTTTCTAGTTTTACATTTGAAAGCAATGTTTTGCACAAAAAATGTTTACCCCCCGCAAAATTTTGCTTTGCTTTGAGTATTCCACATGCACATGCTTCATTACTCACCCGTGTCTTAAAGATTTCAGTGCAGTGGTGCCTCCACTCGTAACTAATATCGTTTTACAGACTGCTGCTGTATGAGTAAGTTTAGATGTAGATTAACAACTTTCTTTTATACAATATAATAGACTCATTTTATTCTCTCAAACGGCTCTCCCTACTGATTTTTTCAGACTTTGCCATATGACTATGTTTCAGATACACAGTGAAGTGGAGACACTCGGGGTAGATGATTAACCTGTTCATGGCAAGTCTATAGTGGCATGGTAATGTTTACAGTAATGCTATAAAAGTAGTCATTTGGTGGCATTTACGCCATTATTTTTTATAAACATTTCACTCCAATGAAAAAATTGTTTTCTTTAGGTCCAAATGAGGTGAAAGCTACTAAATTTAGTTCTTTTAAGTCTAAAACTTAATATCTTTGACTAACTGATTTGTCTTTTATTTGCAGCATGCTTTGTTTCCCACTTCCTCAAACCCATTGGTTACATGTCATCTTATGTAGGTGATGTTACATGTCCTCATCTTCATCTTATCTTTGTGCATTTTCTTTTATTCTGTACTTGTTCAAATTCATATTCATGATATAGTATATGATCACAAAACTGGTATAAAATTCAATAATTCTCAATATTGAATGATTTTTCGAAGTGGTTTTTAAATTTGTAATCCCTGAGCACATGCGGAGGACAAGAAAGTCTCAATAGAAAATATTATCACAAAAAGGGTCCTGGGTCATCCATGAATCTAAGGGTACGTTTGGTTCAAGGTAATACTTCATGCAGGCCGAAATCTGATACCCGGAATAAGAGATATCCGTGTTTGGTTCGCGTGCTTAAATTTTTCTCGGGAATGTCACATTCCTTAAAAGAGAATAAAGGAATGAGATGGCTCGTAATGTCAAACCCAACCCTCTCTTAGGTTATCCTACATTCCCTCTTAGTTATATGTTTTCTTCTAAGATTACCCTTGCTCATTAAATTAGAAGAAACATACTAGGATCTCTTCTCCAACCACTTCTTCAAAAAAAAAATCGTCACTCAGCTTTGCACTGATATTATCTTCACTGAGCTTTGCACTAAAAAAAGTCTGGGATGGAAAAATAAAGAAATCACTAAAATATGCTTTTCTCCATTCTTTCTTTTTACATTGTATCATTCTTCTTCTAAATTATCTCCATAATTATTTACCAATGCTCACTAATCTTTACTTTTTCCAATTAACCATACTTTTCTTTAAAATTATTCAATAAATTTTGATTTTATTTATTAATGAGATATTTCATTTTTAATTTAAATTACTCTAAATGTAGGTTGTAATAAGTTTGTTGTGTTAATAGAAAATATTTGAAGGGCATTGAAGTAATTCACCAAATTAGCAATATAAAATATCATTCAACCAAACAAAATAATATCACATTCCTTTGATCTTAACCAAACACAAATGAGATACAAATTGAATACATTCCCATCAATCTAACATACCCAGTAATCTCACATCCCCATGGTAATCTGACATCCCTCGAACCAAACGGACCCTAATGGTGATGTTGTATTGGTGATGAAAATAATGAGGTCAATGATGATATATGTGATGTTATATGTGTGTTATTTTAATATTTGATGATTAGTCTATCATTTGAGAGTGCTAATTACTTCTAAAGAAATGACAAGTTTTACCTTGAATGTTAAAGAGACAAGTAAAAAACTTAAGCGGTGACGAAAGGCAGAGGACATATAATTTATCTAATATATTTATATACTAGTGATTAAATATAAGTTTAGGCTAAAAAGCCATTTAAATTAGTGAATGAAGCAAGGTAGTCAAAGTCATGAGGCGCACTCAAGGCGATAGGGTATTCCCAGCGCCTGAGGCGCAAGGCGCAAAAAAGCGCTCGCCTGACTCAGGTGAAGCGCACTACTTAGATAAAATCACATTTACTATTCTATAATTACCAAATTATGTAACATCATAGTGAACCAAATGCATAAAAAAGCTAGGATTCATCAAAATAAAGTCATGATTCACAAAAATTAGGATATTTTTTGTTAGCCAAGTAGTTGTGTTTCCAAGCTGGGTCTTTTTTGTAGAGTTTTCACTTTCAGCACCACCTGCAGCACTTGTTCCACCTTCCATATTCTGGAAAAGCACAAATCTGGAATTATTTATTAATTAATACACTGGAAAACATCTTTGGAAAACCACAAAGTAGAGTACATATATAATATATTTATGGGCCAAACACTCAAATATGACTGCCAAATAATGGAAAAACACAAAGCTGGTTGTGTGTTTATCATGTTCTTTTAGTTTTCCATCTGTGTTTGTCATCTTTTGTGTTGTAAAAGGTGGTTATCAACTTTGAAACACATGTTATACTGAGCCCTTTGTTAACAGCCATGTTTTACTCTAGTTGGGTCAAACAGAGTAATATCTTTAATCTTTTTAAAACAAAAGAGGCAGGAAGCATGGCAGATGCTGGGAGATCTTGCAGAACAACACTCTTTACCTTGGCTTATACTTGGTGACTTTAATGATAGGAAAAAGGGTCAAATAGACCCATCTACAATTGTACATTGGTCATCCAAACCCATGTACTAAAAAAAGAATCGTATAAACCCATGTACTCTGAAAAATTGATCGAATCAGTCCATTTACCGGAAGAGAACCCCTTATAGCCGGTGAATTGCTAATTTATACGAAGTAATGTTTTTCTCTTTTCTTTCTCAACTCTTTTTTTCTTTCTGGTCTGTAATCTGTATTCCTGCTTCCCTCTTCAAGATCGGCGAGTTAGGCAGAAGGGACTCCCCTGTCTTCATCACCGACAGGGAGTACTTCCCAAGTGATTCCGATATTGAACGGAGAATTTCGCTCCTCCCTTCTTCGGCAACCAGGCGCCGCGTAGCACAAAAAGAAGAGAAGACCCGCTTCTATCGGATGACTCCAACTCTCCAAGAACGGTGTCGTTAGACTGCTCCATGTCTTCAATTTGAGACAGAGACATCTCTCTTTCTTTCTGGTCCGTCCGTCCAGCTCCCCTCTTCAGTCTTCAAGATCTGTCCATCGATTAAGTGAGTTGGTGTCCATTGGCAGTGTAAAATGGTGGCCAGAGCTTGATGTACTCCAAGTCTGCTACCATTCAAGTTGATTCATATATAAATTTAAGAAAAAGGAGAAATGATAAGTAAAGAGAAAAAGAATGAAACAAGTGTAAGAAAAGAATGTAAAGGATGAAGAGTTTTGAAGACGAAGAGGAACAAGGTCATAAGGCGCAGGACTAACCCACCAGGAAGATATAGAAACAAAAGTAAATAAAAAGAAAGAAAAAGAAAAATATAAAATATCATAAATAATAAGTAACCGGCTGAAGATGGTCAACTTCAGGTAAAACTGACCCATTTGATCATTTTTAAGAGTAAATAGGTTTATTTGATGTTTTTTTAGTACATGGGTTTAGATGACCTATTCACAATTGTAGATGGGTGTATTTGACCCTTTTTCCTTAATGATATTCTGTATGATTCAGAAAAAAAAGGTCCGGTACCACAACCCCTTTGGAGACTGCGTGGTTTCAAGAGGCTGTTTTTAGTAGTGGCCTGAGGGACTTCCCATTTGAAGGCTACCAATGGACATGGGATAGAGGTAAAGGAAAAGATTACTGGGTTGAGGCTAAACTGGATCGAATCTTAGTTAATGATGATTGGTGGAATCAGTTCATGGACGCTCGGGCCTATTCCTTAGAAGCCCCAGCAAGCGATCATATGACATTAATGATCCATATTAATCCTACAATACATACTAGAAAGCCTCATCGATTCAAATTTGAGAATATTTGGTTAAGGGAGGAAGAGTGTCGAACTATTGTGTCTAATAGTTGGAATGCAGGAGATCATATGACCGTTAATGAGAGGATTACATTTTGTGGACAAGAATTGCTCCGTTGGGATAGTAGACGGCCGAAAGAGTTCCGGAACCGCATTGTGGCCTGTAAAAAACGTCTTGCATGGCTCCGGGGAAAAGAAGATGCGAGCAGTGTCGCTGAATTCTCTAGGTTGAGGACTTTTATTTACTCCCTTATGGAGAAGGAGAACCTTTACTGGAAACAAAGAGCAAAGGAGTTCTGGCTGAAGGAAGGAGATATGAACTCTAGGTTTTTTCATAATACGGTGAAACAACGAAGAAGGAATAAAATACAAGGTCTTCGTCTGGCGGATGGATCATGGATCACGGATAGGGGACAGATGGAGGGGGTGGTCACGGATTATTTTGTTATTTTTTTTCAAGCGCCAGATAACAGCAACAATGGACGGATGTGGGGAATTTCAAGGAGATTGGGGCTGATCAGAATGCACACCTGATTCGGCCAATTAGTCCAGAAGAAGTCAAGGAGGCCATTTTTGAGATGCACCCGGATATGGCACCAGGAGCGGATGGGATGAATCCTGCGTTTTTTCAGAAGTTTTGGGACATAGTGGGTCCCCAGGTTGTTCAGCTATGCTAAGGTATGTTTGAAAGTGGTACTATCCCGTATGATTTGAATATGACTAATATAGTGCTGATTCCGAAGAAAGATAAGCCCGAAAGAATGGGGGATTGGAGACCGATTGCTTTATGTAATGTGATGACAAACACAGATGGAAAACTAAAAGAACATGATAAACACACAACCCGCTTTGTGTTTTTCCATTATTTAGCAGTCATATTTGAGTGTTTGGCCCATAAATATATTATATGTGTACTCTACTTTGTGGTTTTCCAAAGATGTTTTCCAGTGTATTAATTAGTAAACAATTCCAGCTTTGTGCTTTTCCAGGATATGGAAGGTGGAACAAGTGCTGCAGGTGGTGCTGAAAGTGAAAACTCTACAAAAAAGACCTAGCTTGGAAACACAACTACTTGGCTAACAAAAAATATCCTAATTTTTGTGAACCATGACTTTATTTTGATGAATCCTAGCTTTTTATGCATTTGGTTCAATATGATGTTACATACATCATATTTGGTAATTATAGAATAGTAAATGTGATTTTATCTAAGTAGTGCGCTTCACCTGAGTCAGGCGAGCGCTTTTTTGTGCCTTGCGCCTCAGGCGAGCGCTTTTTTGTGCCTTGCGCCTCAGGCGCTGGGAATACCCTATCGCCTTGAGTGCGCTTCACTTTGATTACCTTGCTTCATTCACTAATTTAAATGGCTTCTTAGCATGAACTTATATTTAATCACTAGTATATAAATATATTAGATAAATTATATGCCCTCTGCCTTTTGTCACCGCTTAAGTTTTTTACTTGTCTCTTTAACATTCAAGGTAAAACTTCTCATTTTTTTAGAAGTAATTAGCACTCTCAAATGATAGACTAATCATCAAATATTAAAATAACACACATATAACATCACATATATCATCATTGACCTCAGGATTTTCATCATAAACATTTATCGAAATTCAAAATATATTGTAGTTACCTAATTTAATTATTGTCTACATAAACGTGTCATTTCTGAACAAGAAGTTTTTTCTTATGTTTTGTTCTCATTTACTTACTATTAGTATAAATTTTAACTTTCAGTGGGTGTATTTTTAAATCTGAACCAGTGTCTTTGTTCAATTGTTCGTAATAGTTTTCATTTCGCAGCTTAAAATGGTACTAGTATTAACTATGTTAACAGTTTAGTTTTTTCTGATCACTTACTGCATTATATCCTAAACTATCTTTCGATCAAATATTTAGTGAAATATATAAATATAGATAGGAGCAAGGAAAAAAAGAATTGGGAGGGTCGGTGGCTTTTCATATATATAATATAATACTTTATTTTACTTTGCATGAAGGAGCATGACGACCCAATTGTGATTAGGAGAGTCAATCTCATGTATCAACTCCTTGGATGAGGATGAAGAAATTTAGCATGGAGCTCTTCCCATTTTACAAGGTTTTTGAGTGTGGTTTTCTTGTAAAGCCCTGGCCTTTGCAAATCGGAGGATCTAATACACAACCAGCAGGTAATCAACGACTTAAGAGCAGTCTAGTAGAAATCTCAGTGACTACTCCTGCCACACCGTATAAGAAATCATTTTGTGAATGGCTAGCTGGAATTATTGATGGCAGTGGAAGTCTTCAGGTGCTTAAGAAAGGAAAGACATCTCTTGAAATTACTATGGGACTTGAAGATGTAGCACTACTACGATATGTCCAACATACGCTTGGTGGAAGTATTAAAATGCGGTCCGGTGCTAAATCTTATCGCTATAGATTAATTCATCACCTTGACATGATTAAATTAATGAATTGTATTAATGGCCATATTCGTAAATCTGCACGACTAGCACAGCTGCATCGTGTCTGTCAAGAGCATGAAATTCCTGTAATTGTGCCCATCACATTAGATGCTCAATCAAATTGGTTCGGAGGATTTTTTGATGCTAATGGTAGCATTGATATCACTACGAAGAATGAATTGCCCCAACTCGGTGTTCGAGTCACTAGCAAACTGCTACAAGATGTGGAGCCTTACAAGGCCATGTTTGGTGGAGATGTATACTTTGACAGTGGTCGAAATGGTTTCTATGAATGGTCTGTGCAGAGTCCTGAAGACGTTTTATCATTTGTTGGTTACTTTAAGACAAGTACTTTGAGAAGTCAGAAATCAAGACGATTCTTTCTAACAGATGAATATTATCATCTTTATGGTCTCAAAGCATTTGAACCTTCCAGTATGAACCATAAAGCATGGCTAGCTTTTCTAAAGAAATGGAACAACTTGATAGCGTAGCTCATCTTTGTTTCTATTAATATTTATTGCATTGCTTGGGATTGCTCTGGAGCCAATATTCCTGTTACTGGAAAAATAGATTGGAGAACGTGATTACTAATACAAGCTTCTCTTTTAATCAATCTGCCCTTTCTTTAAAGTGGCTTTGGTGAGTATAAAGGCTTAGATTGACATTGGTGACTGTGCAGTACTGTTCCAGGTTTTGATAATGAGATTGTTCTTTAAACTGAAGGGGTTATTGGACTTTTTAGGAGTGATTCTGTATATGATTTCTGTGATGCTATTTCACGGATATATCAAGCAGTTCCAAGTACATATGATGGTTATAATTTTGGAATATGTGACTTCGAATTGAGATCATTAAACCTTAATGCGTTTTTGTTAGCAATATCCTGAAGTCTGCTCTCAATTGATCTACTTCTGAAGCATCTGGACTGTCCTGTTTGCTTGAAAACGGTAATATTGTCTCTGCTTTGACCTTTTTTAAAATGTTATTCATAATCAATTTATCTTCCTTTTTTGATGTTTAAAATTTGTCAGTACTGAAAAGAAGAAGAAAAATGTGTCAAGGAACCTTATGTAGTTATGATGATTTACCCACGTCCTTTTATTGGAGTCATGATTTGATCTTTTTAGCTTCATCTTTTTCTCTTCACCCTAAATAGCTTCCATAAGATGACAACGTAATTGAATGTGTGTTTATACATCTTGGTTGATTTTCCTAGGGAGCTTCCGGTGGTCGATTTCCGGTATTAGGCGTGCATTATAAGAGGGTAGGACAAACACTATTTCTGGCTTTCTGCAATAGAAAGCTACGAAGTATTTTGCTTATCCGCTGTGTATGATAACGATAAGTTTTGGGAACTCTGGGTCAGAAACATCGGATTATGCCTGAAAGAGTAGCTTTTGTCATCGTTCTTGGGCTGAGTTGGACATAGGATGTTTTTACTTGGACGGTAATTTGCCCCAGACTGCTTCTCATTGCAATCAGCATCTTTGTCATCATCTTCCATTTCTATCTCTTCAGTGCAGTCAATTCCACCATCAAACTGCCAACGTTCTCTGTTGAAGTTCTGAAACAGTAATGCCACCTCTGGTATTGCCATCTCTTGAGCTGTTGGTTCCATGGGTTTATACTCAAACTGCAAAAAAGGAACACATGATATCAATATATCAATATACAAATAAAGAGAATGAATTATGTATATTTAAATATTTCAATTTATACCCCATTGTTATAAAATATCAACTTGCACAGTAGATTCAGACTTGGTTTTTTAGTAAACACCCATTTGAGTGAGCGAGGAATAACGTTATCTTGATCTTCTTTCGACGTGCAGATCCCAGCTTTACTCAGTCCTGGCAGTGTTTCAAATGCCCATATTTGTAGAGCAAACATAAATCCAGGAAAAGTTACACGGTCAGAGTTAGTCGTTGACAGTAGCTCAGCACTTTTGCCTGCATAGTTTACCAAATCATCCCATATATCTCTTCCCCATGCATAGCTGTTAAATGCTTCCAGATCATGCAGCAGATTGACATAGTAAGAAGGCAGTCCTAATTTATTTTGGTTGCCAAATAGTCCATGCCCTAGCAGATACAACAAACCTAATTTAACACCATCATGCTCCACAGTCCCCTCATTGTTGCTGTTGTATTGAGTAAAAACATCTGTGATGTTTTTTCTAGACACATAACTCCTCCCATTGAAATACCTCTTCCACAAATCCCCCTGCACATCATCTTTTATTTTTTTCTTAAGCCCATCCATCCTAAAAGATGTCACCAGAGCAAAATCTTCTTTGGTAAATGATATCAAACTATTTCTAATGTTGAAAGTGATTTTCTCAGTCTCTACCATATTATTCACTTCTTCAACATGGTTTCCTATGAGCCCCAACAACAATTGTCCACTTATCCAAGATATGGAATCCATATCCAATATCCATCCAAACACAGTCCCCCTAAATTCAGCAATTTCTTCTGCATTCAAGTACATTTTAATCGCCTTAACCACTTCTGAGAGATTACAATAACAATTTACCCTTAATTTGTTCATCTTTGCCAAAATATCCTTTTGACAGGATCTTCTTATTGCCTACAAACATTAGATTTCAACAATTAAGTAATATTAACAACAATATGTTGTACATTCAGCATTGCAAGTGAATTAAATGACAGTACATTGATTGATTTCTAAACAACACTAAGAAATCATCAATAAACAGAGCATTATGGAAATAAATCTACGAACAACTAATGAAATTTGGAAATATTTGAACTGTCTTCACTCGTACATACTATAAAGGAATTTAATCATTATTACATATGTTTGATAAGTAAAATAATACACATCGAAGTTAATAAACAGTATCGCACTTGATCTCAATAAATAAATAAAAACTCTATAGCACTTCTTCTGTGCACAATAATGAACATGCAAATAAAATGCATTGAAGTATCCAAAAATTAGGCTTAAAACTTCCATTATTACACCTTTCATTGCACATTTCAACCTAATTTTTTCGTAAAAAGCAAACGAGAAATACACACCAGTTTCGTGGCCATGGCCTTTCTTCGTTCTGTAGTTGTCGAGTTCGTTTCGTCCATTGTTGACGACAGTAATGATGCTTTAGCCGTCGGCCTTACGTCTCTATTCTCAATCGCAATAGCTCTTCTTCTTCGAGTACTGTTTCTGCGGAAGTTGGGAGTATGGCTTCGAAAGTCGGAGAGACTCGAAGTAACTGCTCGAGGTGGAGGAGAGAGGCGCGTATATGGGGTTACGTGAAATCGTGCAAAGGCGCGTAATAGTTGAGGCTATAATTGTCCATTCAGATATTATTTGGTCCTACCGAAAATTCACTTCCGGTTTGGTCCCATTTTGGAATTTATGATGCTATTTAGTCCCATTTAGGGAATCTTCCCAAATATATATAGTTAATATACTAATTATATGTAATATAAGTAAATAAGTAAATAACAAGTATGTAATAAGTATATATGAGTAGTACAGTTATATTTAATACTTTAAACTATAAATATATATATATAATTAATATAAAATTATATGTAATACAAGTAAATAACAAGTATATAATAAGTAGATATTAAGTATATATTAAGTACATATTAAATATAAGTAATATAATATATGTATTTATAAGTAGATAATTAATATATAAGTGGATAATATAATTGTATAAATAGTAAAATAGATGTATAGAGAATAAGAGAATTTTAGAAGATGAAGATGGAGATGATTAAGGATAGAGAGTAGGAAGATAAGAGGAGTGTAGAAAAATGTTAGAAAGTAGGTGTATTTATAGAATTTTTTGTACCCCACCCCCCAAACCCCCAGGACCCCCTTGCTGGCACCCCAACGGCTATATAGCCATTTGGGGGTTTTTCTCCATTGGTTATAAGCCTTTTTGATTTTTTTTAATTATAGATTTATAGCCGTTAGGCCCGAACCGGCCGGTTCAGCTTTTGGGAATTCCCAGACCCGCCCCCCGTCTACCCTCTGGGTCGGGCCTAGACCTAGTACCGGGACCAGTCAACCGGGCCGGTTCGGTCCCGCACAGTAGCGGGTAATCCCGGGTCAAATGACCTAATTAACCCCCAACCCTCCTCCCTCACCCCCAAACCACCTCAAATGGCCCAAAATACCCAACCCAACCCAAAAACTTAAAAAAAATTCAAAAAAAAATTAATTTGACCCGAATCGGCCGGGCCGGTTGACCTGTCCTAGGGCCCGGGCCCGAACCGCATTCCTACCGGACTGGGCCAGGCCAAATAGTAACCGGGCCGGACCGCTCGGCCCGAGTCCATCCCTAGTAGCGGGCCGGGCCGGTTCCCGAGCCGGTCAGACCAGACCGGGTCCACCACTAAGAGCAGGTGACTCAACATTGGTCTTCAATCATGACTCAACATCTACATATTCACATTATTGTCGGACTTGCATTTTATCAGCTCATGAGTACATCTCATGTGATTCACTTTTGGACTTAAATCTTACTCTATCACATTACGGGAAGACTTTTTACTAGGTTCTATACTTCTATCGTTTGGATTTCCCTTTCAAGACTTTTTGTTTTCCCAAATGAATACATTTTAGATTCAGTTTTTTTTGGGAAATTTTCTAAGATATGACTAAAACTCGTTAAGTTTCTCTAAATATGACTAACTTATTTTTAAGACATTTGTATGACCAAAAAACACCCCAAAAATGAAAGATTCGTTCACAATAAAATGTTTAATGACCAAAATAGCCTTGTTTAAAATATGTGCATTTTGCACTAATTCCGTCCAATTAAAATTACTGCACTTTATATTACCGTTACTGCGCGACATCACTGCACTTCCGTCAAAATTAATTCTCTTCACATTTACTTTCTGAAATTATTTTTATTTTTTTATTTGTTCGATTTAATAATTTTAATAATTTAATCATTTTACATTTAATTAAGAATATTGCATTTCAATGCTAAACACACTTTCTCAATGCACTCAATCATTGCCATGTATAATATTACTAGTTTTTACACGGGCGTTGCGCGATAAGGTAAGTGCCCAATGTAGTCTTTGTTGTGAAATATGTATGTATATATCTATTTGTGTTAAAACTAGAAAAGAACTACAAATAACCACCTGCTCGTGGCCGAAACTGAAAGCTAACCACTTGTAAAAAAGCAGTATAACTCGCAAGACCAAAATTGAACAACTTAAAGCAAATGACGGTTACTACAGACTTTCCCTCCCCCAACCTTAATGCAAGAGTCTTACAAGGAATGAAATAACAAAAGAAAAACATAATAAAGCAACCTAAGTTAAAGTAACCAAAGCAGGCAATAATAAAAACACCATCAGACCCCGCCCCCTCCCCATTTTTTGGCCCATCCAAAGTCATTCCTTCGCCATCTGCACCCTCTTCAGTCTGGTCATCCCATATCCTTCTACGCTTTGGATCTCCAGGAGTCTCTTCCGTGTCTTCACTCTCATGCAGTGATAGCTTGCTAGTCTTGGACTCAGCCATATTCTCTACCCCGAGATCAGACTTCCTCTGACCTCCAAATCCAACTGAGCTAGAGGCTCCATCAGATAACCATTTATTAAATCCTGTCGGGCTAGTCTTCACCCTTCCTCCAGCTCTAAGTCCCACCCCATATATTTTTTCAGCTACAAAGTCCTCTTCGTACTTCAATGAACAGAACTTGTCAGAATGCCCGATAATACCACAAATAAAGCAAAAACTGGGTAGTTTTTCGTATTTAAAATCTACCCAATGTTTCACCCCATCCTGTGTTAAATTGCAGATAAGAACTCTGCTTTCCATCAAAATGGCACATCTCAAATTTAATAAAAGAGCCTAAAAAATTACCAATTTTCCTGGTAGATCTTAAATTCCTATACTTAATAGGAGCATTATGAACATGTACCCAAAAGCTAGCCTCAAACAAGTTCATGGATTCCGGTATATCATCTGGTTGCACAGCCTTTAGCAAAATTAAATCTCGCTCAAAAAGCCAGGGAACATCCTCTATCACACGGTTCATATTCAAAACATGATTAAAGTTTAGCAAATACCTTCTTTCGCCGATCTCTTTGATAGACATACCTTTCCCTGGTTTCCAAATAGAGGTCATCAGCTCTTGAAACCCAGGTAATTTGACCTTGCGGTCCGTGATGACAACCCCAACCACCGGAAAAGTCATCGGCCTTCTCCTCCTCGCTGCCTTCCTCTGGCTCCTCGTCAAAATTAAGCTCCAAATCCTACTCCTTCGTCGACATCTTCCTATACGAAGCCACTATATCCTCCATGCAATAAATCTTCGACCGAACCGAAAGTCCTCGCTCTAAGCCTCATCGAATCCCCCTGCACTTCGTCTGAAATTGCCGCCCTATGCTTCGCCCGAACCTTCTTCCTTGCTAAGCGATTCCCGATCCTCGGCCGAGAACCGAGATCGGAGATACTAACCCTAGCGTGGGACAGAATTCAAATCGATGGAAAGGAATTAAAAAGGGTTGTGAAATCGATTGTTATGTTGGTAGAATAGAATTACTAGTATAAGAAAAAAAAAGTGGGTCATTCTTTACTTGTGTAGGACCTGTTGGTTCAATAACTAGAGTAGGGGATATGAATTGCAAAAATCCAGAAAATGTAGGAATTACAATTCCATCCAACCAAACAAATGGAATCACAATTCCAAGGAATCAGGTAGGGAAAGGATTGGAATTCCTCCCACAGGCCAAACAAGCCTTGGACAATTTCTGAATTGATTTAATCAGATATGTGCACAGAGATTTAGCATTCCAAAAGTTGTACCAGAGATTGATCCCAAAGAGATAAGCTCGGACTCCATGGAAGGAAGTAATAACAAGGTGTACAAGACGCTATAGAATCTCAGCAATATTCGCTCTTCATAGAAATACACATTTCTCCCCTCAATATCTGGATAGCCTGCAAAGTGACTAACTAAATTCAATTGCGCAGAAAAAAACTTCACAGCATCATGTGAGTAGTGTTCAGACCATAGTTATACACAAAACTAATTCAGAGAATAAATATAAGTTCAAAGTACAAGTCTTTGATTTTGTTTTTGGCTAACGAAAGTATATTTCAACATAGAACTGCTTATTGGCTCAAACCAACAAAGCAATGAAGCATTAAAAGCACAACTTTTTAATCAAGAAAATGGTTCAAATACAAATGCAATTTCAGTCTTAGACAGATGCAACAGAAGTGTCAATATTGACATCTTCTTCATGATTCATTATTTTTTGGCTTTCACTTACCTATTAAGTGTTAATAATTCTTCATGATTCATTATTTTTGGCATTCACTTACCTGTTAAGTGTTAATAATTTTGTTGTTATTATTTTGGCGAATTGGGACCCAAAGTTAATGGCCTGGTAAACCTACACTGGCCCTTCGAGCAGTCCAACTAGCAACCTCAAAGATTTTTTTAGTTCTGAGTTCAAACCAGTTGCGTCAACTACCCGGCTTTACCTGTTAGCTTTTTTTGTTTTGTTTTGTTTTTTAAGCCAATGAGAAGTGATACTGAGTGTATTTTTTTACACCACGATGCATTTCCTATCTGATT